GTTGGAATTGTTAAAGGATTATGATTTCGGTTTGAATTATCATCCAGGAAAAGCGAATGTGGTAGCTGATGAGTTGAGTCAAAAGATTTTACATATGTCAGCAATGATGGTTAAAGAGTTGGAATTAATTGAACAGTTCAGGGATATGAGCTTAGTTTGCAAGGTGACGCCGCATAGTTTTATGTTAGGTATGTTGAAGATTAATAATGAATTTCTAGACAGTATCAGAGAAGCTCATAAGTTGGATGTGAAACTGGTAGATTCGATGGTTGGGATCGATTGGTATGAGAATAGTGATTTTAAGTTTGATGCGCAAGGTGTGCTGAGATTTCATAACCGAATTTGTATTCCTGATGATGCTGAGACGAAGAAAGTGATACTTGAAGAGAGTCATAGAAGTAAGTTGAGTATTCATCCAGGAGCTACAAAGATGTATCAAGATTTGAAAGGTTTGTTTTGGTGGCCTGTAATGAAGAGTGATGTGGCTCAGTTTGTGTATGCATGTTTGACTTGTCAGAAGTCGAAAGTTGAACATCAGAAGCCTGTAGGGTTGATGCAACCGTTAGAAGTTCCAGAATGGAAATGGGATAGCATTTCGATGGACTTTATGACGGGGTTACCTAATACTTTACGAGGACATGATTCGATTTGGATGATTGTTGATAGGCTTACGAAGTCAGCTCATTTTATTCCTATTAACATTAGTTTTCCAGTGTCGAAGTTGGCTGAGATTTACACTAGTGTGATTGTGAAGCTGCATGGTGTTCCTTTGTGCATTATTTCAGATAGAGATCCAAGATTTACTTCTGATTTTTGGAAGAGTTTGCAAGAAGCGTTGGGTTCTAGATTGAGGTTGAGTTCGGCGTATCATCCTAAGGCAGATGGTCAGACTGAACATACTATTCAATTGTTGGAAGACTTGCTGAGGGCATGTGTTCTTGAGCAGGGAGGTTCATGGGATACTTATCTTCCGTTGATAGAATTCACTTATAATAACAGTTACAATTCTCGTATTGGGATGGCACCTTTTGAAGTGTTGTATGGTCGAAGATGTAGAACTCCTTTATGTTGGCATGAATATGGTGAAAGTGTAGTACTTGGACCTGAACTTGTTCGTGAAACTACTGAGAAGGTGAAGTTGATTAGAGAAAAGATGAAAGCTTCCCGAAGTAGACAAAAGAGTTATCATGACAAGCAAAGGAAAGAATTAGAATTTCAAGTGGGTGACCATGTGTTTTTGAGAGTTACACTTGTGACTGGTGTTGGGCAAGCATTGAAGTCTAAGAAGCCCACTTCTCATTTTATTGATCCATATCAGATTTCAGAGAGAGTTGGGAATGTGGCTTATAGAGTGGATTTACCGCCCAATCTTTCGAATTTTCATGATGTGTTTCATGTGTAACAACTCCGGAAGTATATTTCAGATGCATCTCATGTGATTCATATGGATGATGTGCAAGTACGGGATAACCTTACTGTGGAGACGATGCCTGTACGAATCACGGATCGTGAAATAAAGACTCTGAGGGGCAAAGAGATTGTGTTGGTTAAAGTGGTTTGGCTAGGAGCTGCCGGAGAAAGCATGACTTGGGAGTTGGAAAGAAAGATGCGGGACTCCTATCCTGAGTTGTTTGATTAAGGTAAATTTTCGAGGACGAAAATATTCTAAATGGGGGAGAGTTGTAACGCCCGTAATTTAATTAAATTATTTTCGGATTATTTGTGAAGTTGCGTTATGATGATAGTTGATGTGTTGTTGTTATTGGATTTATTTATTCTATTAAGTTGTGAAATAATATTAGAATAATAATATTATTTGATGTGAGCTTATTTTAAGGACTAGAAGTAGTAGAAAGGGGTGTAGGAGTTTTAAGCCCATTAAGACATAATGAGAATTATAGGGTTATTATATTAGTTATTTAGAATTAATATGGAAACGAAGTAGCAATAAGAAGAGAAAGAAAATAAGGGTTGGAAGAGAACATGAAAGTTGCAGAAAAGAAGGAAAAGATCCATAAAGGAATTCAACCGGAAAAGTTATAGAGCAACCTTCAATCCAAGGTAAGGATGGGGGTTCTGACTCTATAATATGGTTTATGATGAGTAATATGTGGGAGTAGATGTGAAAGGTTATTCTGTTTATGATTGAAATATATATATATATATATATATATATATATATATATATATATATATATATATATATATATATATATATATATATATATATATATATATATATATATATATATATATATATATATATATATATATATATATATATATATATATATATATATATATATATATATATATATATATATATATATATATATATATATATATATATATATATATATATATATATATATATATATATATATATATATATATATATATATATATATATATTGTTGTTTGATGAGGATCAATAATTTAGAGATGAATAATGATGCCCTAATGTTGTATAACTGATGTAGAAACATATGATTATTATAATTGATGATTACCTATGATTAGAGGATGTTTTTAGGGCCTAAGGCAGGGAAATCATAGTGAAAACGCAAAATATTTTCATCACATGTCAGTATGAGTCGACCTCAAAAGCCATGCGTTGACACATGCAAGTTTTTGGACTCAGGATGAGTCGATACATAAGATTACGCGTTGACTCATGCAGGATTTCAGCCCAGTATGCGTCGACTCAAAGAAGTATGTGTCGACTCATGTAGTATGATTTTTGACAGATTCTTCCAAAGGCTGTAACTTGAGTTTCCGGACTCCGTTTGAGGTGACGTTTGAAGTGTTGGATAGCTAACGTGATGAAATACATTCTTAAGGATTAAAATGAAGGATAAGAATAAGTCTAGTACCCCAAATTAGGATTAGAGTTAGCTTCCCGCGTTAACCGCTATGATGATTTTGTGAAGTATGATGAGGATAAGATGATTATAGATTATTGCTTGGTTCATATCAGTAAGATTAATGATGATAATGATGTAGTATTACAAAATAATAATATGTAAAGGTTTGGTAATTAGAGATAAGACTTAGATGATTAATTAATTATAGGCATTATCATGTCGTAGGCCTATGGCCAACATTGAGGGATTGTTGATCTGTCGTTGTATTGTTGTGATGGCTGAGTTACTGTGGAATCATGTTGATGAATTATGTTGATGAATGATGTTGATGAATAATGTTGATGAATTATGTTGATGAATTATGTTGATGAATTATGTTGATGAATGATGCTGAGATGCCTCTAATAATTGGCAGCTATTAAGATGTAGGCTTCTGGCCAATGATGAGGCTGTGTTGAGATGTTGTTAAGTGTGGTTGTTATTACTACATTCATGATTGTGTCGCATACATTGTATATCAAGATGGAGTTAATGCTCGTTAAGATGGCCTATATTGGCGGGTATTAAGATGAAGGCTTATTCCTTGTTGATGCCTCTATTTATTGGCAATTATTTTGAGATGGGAGTTCTGCTCCAATGGTACCACATGCATTTGCATAGTATTGAGTCGCATTTTATGATTGCATAAAGAAGCTGTGTATTAATGCGGTAAACATGTATATTGTTGGTATTCTGTTACGATTATTGTTGTTTATGAGATGTGAAGTGGTGTTATTATATGAGCTGATCTAACATATTATTTATCATACGTTTTATTATATGGTTAGATATCTCACCCCTTTTGTTTGAATGTTACCCTTACGTTGGTAACGTGCAGGTAATCCAGAGTGAAGGTATTATACCTTCGGTAGTTTGAGTCAGTGTCATTGCTCTGATACGTAACACTCTGGGGGATGAACGCTTGTTGCTTTTAATTATTGATTATTTCAGTTGTTGAACTTTAATTTGATTGTTTCTAAGTATGTGTTATTTTGAAGTTGCTGTAATTGTTGGAATAAGATGTTATTATGATTCCGCTGTGTAGTTGTTCAAGTTGTTGAATTAAGAGATTAAATTATTTTACTGTTGGTTCATCCGAAGTTTAAAGTGTTATGTATCCATGTTGAATGCAATGTGTTTTTAAGTTGAATTTGTGGCATCCTGATTCAGTTGTATAGATTTTAAAACTCTGATTTACATTCATAATTGTCGGGTAGAATTGGGGTGTTACATGGACCACCAATTCAAAATAGATGCTATCAAACTCTGCTGCACCAGAAATCAGATTCAGAGGAAAATTAAGATGATAATAAGAGCCACTAACCTTGACCCTAACACAATCCACTGCACCAAAAGCAACAACTTCTGACTTTGTTCCTCAACATTTTGCCAAAATAATGAAATGTGTCTTAGAGGGTGTGAAATGGCAGTGCTTTCAACATACTGCACATACTCAGCAAGTGTAAATGTGCTTCCATTACAAAAAATCCCACACCTATTACAATTTAATGCAAACAAATCCGCATGGAACACCCTAACCAAAATCCAACCTATACCAAATGAAAAAACAAATTAAACTTGGCTAAGACCTATGATTCAATAACATGGCATAACACCTTTGACTATTCCAAACCAAGAAGAACATGACAATACATTCTAATATTGTGCACCATCATATTTCACAATTTTATCCGCCAACCATGCCAAGACATGCCAAAGGATTCAAACACCATTGAGTTAAAACATATCCCAAAATATTAGATTTGGTGCTCAGTCATTTCCAGGACAACACCTTCACTTCTTCACACATTTTATCTGTGCAAACTTCAATGTTATGAAATATCTTTCCATTTCTCGAATTCCAAATGCTCTATATGCAGGCAAACCATACCGCAACTACTCTCTTTGAAGTAGAGTTGCCTCTGTTAATCAGTCCCGTGAACTGATCCAAATGCTGACATCTATCATTATGTAATGCTGTTATCACTCCAAACCAGCGAAAAACTTTTCTCCATATACTTGAAAAAATTGGACACTAAAAAAAATATGTCACATCTATTCTTCCTCTACACAACCAGTAGCACATTGGGTATCCTCTTATGAAAACACTCCTCTCCTAGCTAGGTCAATTTTAGAAGCAATTCTATCATGAAAGACTCTCCAAGCGAACAAAGACACTTTTGGGGGAATTGATTTATGCCAAGCTCTTACAAGATTTCGATTAGGATCAAAAGGTAACTTGGATATAATGGCTCTATAAGCTTCTTTAAGCGTGTATCCATCCACACTCCCTTCTACCCACACCCATCTATCTTTCACTCCTTCCTTCAACTCAAAACTTTCTAATAAGTTTGTTATATCTTTTAAGTTCTATCTTTCTTCCCCATACAAATCTCTACTCCAATGCAAAGACCACTTACATACACCATTTTCTCTTCTCCTAATCTCACCAATCTTCTTTGATTTATCTAAAGACAATCGATATAAATCTTCAAACATATTTTTAAGATTCCCTGTACGAATCCACCAATCATAACAGAAACTTGTGTCGGTCCCATCGCCTATTTCCTTTTTTAATCTAGATGAAAGCCAATCGTTAATGATCTCGCCGATTCCAATGTCTAGGTTACATATGTCATGCCATCAAACAGAGGAATCGTTGCCACTTTTCCTAACATAACCATCTCTCTCGCCATATCTATTAACCAATGATTTATACCACAAACTAGTTCTTTTGCTTTTTAGTTTCCATCTCCATTTAACTAACAATGCAAGATTAAATGTCCTCAAGTTCTTAATACCCAAACCCCCTCTTCTATAGGTAAGCAAACCTTATCCCATTTAACCTAATTTATTTTTCTCTTTTCCTCACTCCCACCCTATAAAATTGTTTAAAGAGTGATTCGAGATTAGAGATGATACCTATCGGAGCCTTAAAGAAAAAGAGAAGAAATAGACCGAAAGAGTCGATAAGATTGATTTTATAACTACCACCTGACCACCGATCTATAGCTTCTTGGTTTTACACCTTGACAATCTAGATCTCACCACATCTAATATTGGTTTCCACACTGCCTTCAATCTTATTTTAGCACCAATCGACAGTCCAAGATAATTGAACGACGCGGATCCCAATTTACAGTTTAGCACCTTTGCTTCTTCTTCTAACCATTATTGAGAGGTATTTATCCCAACCAATAAGTTCTTGTGAAAATTAACCTTTAGGCCCGACATGCTTTTGAACAGGATAAGATTGGTCTTGATTGTGTTGATATTCACCCAACATTTTTTGCCAATAATTAAGGTGTCGTCAGCATATTGTAAGTAAGAGAACTCTTTTGTCCCGCCGTCAAACCTGAACCCACTGAAACTTCCCATTTCCAAATAATTTTCCATCAATACATTGAACCCTTTAACAACTATGAGAAAAAGAAACAACGATATTGGGTCGCCTTGCCTTAAACCTCGCCTTATGGAAAACGCCTTAGTAGGACTTCTATTTACCAGCACTCAAACTGATGTTGTTTTTAAAAATTCCAAAATCCATTTTCTCCATTTCTCTTGAAACCCCATTTTTTCCATCACAAAATGTAAAAAAAATTCAGTCCACCGAGTCGTAGGCCTTTTCGAAATCTACTTTAAACATTACAATTTATTTTTTCTTTTCCCTTGCTTCATCTACTATCTCATTTATGATAAGAACACCATCTAAAATATGTCTGCCATGTATAGATGCAGATCGGGTTTATGATATAATCGAACTGATCACTTTTTTGAGTCTATTTGCCAAAACCTTCGATAAGATCTTGTAAATAGAACCAATTAGAGAAATAGGTCTAAAATCTGAAATTTTCATCAAAATTTTCTTCTTCGGTATGAACACCATAAATGAACAATTAGCTCCATTCACTATCTTACCATTTTGATGAAATTCTGTCATGATTCTCAAAAAACCAGTCTTGATGTCATTCTAAAACTCCTTTATAAAACCAAAATTTACACTGTCCGATCTCGGACTTTTGTTGTTATCACATTCCCACAATGCTCTCCGTATTTCTTCTTTATTAAACTTAAAAATCAAGCTAGCGTTGTCCCTATCATCAATCCTTTTAAAATTCAAGTTGGCTCAAACAGGTCTCAGTCCCTTTGTTGCAAAATGATCTTGGAAATGCTCGACAATCACATTTCTAATATCTTCCACGCTTGTCACCTTTCTTCCATCCACCTCAAGGTTTAAAATTTCATTCCCACATCTTCTTTTGTTGATACAGCCACAAAAATATTTGGAATTAGCGTCTCCCTCCTTCAACCACCTAACCATGGACTTTTGACATTATATACTGTAGTTCATTTTATACAAGTGAATTGTTAAATCTCTCTGGCCTCTTCGGACACTTCCATTTCCTCTTCTCCAACTTCAATTCTGTTTATATCTATTTTTGCCTCCTTGATTTTTTCCTCTAGGTTTTTAGTATGATTATTATGCCACTCTTTAAGACTCCATTTGATTAATTTTAATTTTTCTTTGAGAACAAACATCCCCCAGCCTCCCACCTTCAACTTTTTCCACTGTTCCCAGACGAATTCTTGATATCCCTTTGTTTCTCTCCAACACTTTAACATCCAGAACGGTTTAGGTCCCCAATTTAGCTTCTTTTCACTTAACATAATCATACAATGATTTGATAGTGCTTTGTCGAGGCCCCATTGTATGCAATCTGGCCACATCCTATACCAAGCATCCGAGATGAGGAATCTGTCGAGACGACTCATAGATGACCCGTTTAACCTAGACCAAGTAAACCTTCTTCCGTGTAACGGAAGATCAATTAATTCTGCTTATGTGATGAAATCATCGAAAACTTCCATCTCTTCCTATCTATTATAATTATTAGCCCTTTTCCTTTATGTTTCCACCCGAATTGCGTTAAAATCTCCTTACAAACACCATTTAGCCTCATGCTTTAGGGAAATAAATGATAAAAGATCAGCCCGCAACATTTGCTTTCTTCTAACCTCACAAGTTACATACATATTCACTATAATGACTTGATGTTTTTCAACCCCCCATTTTCCCTATACTATAAGCACATGATCTCTGCTAAATTTTCTCTATAACGAGAAGACACGATTATCCTACATTGTTAATAGTCCACCTGACCTTCCATCTAATGCCATGAATGCAAATTCATAATATGTCGAACCCCATAATGTTACACACTGATTCTTATATAGAAATTCCATCTTTGTCTCTTGAATGCATATCATATCAGGTTTCTGATTCATGATTAATTTGTTAAATTCCTTTTTTTAGCTAATCCCCCTAATCCCCTGATATTATAGCTGATCAGATTCATGATGTAATGATTTCTGCACCACCTCTCGAAATACCCCTTTCAGCAAGGGTTCACCCCTCTCCCCTCTTCTACCTTTCTTTTTTCCATGCTTATCCCTGTTGTCAATTCCTGTAATATTTCTGATTCCTCTTCTTTGTACACCCTTGTGTATAATTCCATAATATTTCCCCAAATCCCACACATCCTTGAAATTTTTCTTGCATCCCCATATAAGAAAATCCAACTACTCTTTTCTAACTCATCATTTGACAGCATGATTGTTTACCTGACTTTGGGGTTTGTTGCGCTGACTACAAGTGCATTTTGACTTCATGCTTTTCCCTTTTCTCCATATTTTCTTCTTTTCCTTCATGATTTCTTTTCTCCATCTTTTTCTTTATTTGAACAATTGATCTTGTAGACTTGGTTCTTCATTGTGTTTGCTCTGATTCCAAATGTTAACCCTTACCCCCTTTGTTTCGACAGTCTTTCCTTGTTGCTAATTTGAATTTGTTACTTTGTCAAATTTATCCACATGCCTCTTGCCCTTTCCTTATCTGTATTCACAGTCTTTATGTTGTTCTCTTCTTGGGTGTTATTCGTGACTTGTGGTTTCACAATCTTTGTTCAAGGCAATTTCTATTTCCACCCCTACAGCGAAAAGAAAAATCCTACGCATTCCTTAAAATTCCCTTGAAAATCAGATATATATTTCCGGTGCACATCATTTTTTGTTAAATATTATTTAAAAATCGAAAATATATTTTTGAAGTCAACCAGAAATGCATATCCGATCTCTGTGCAGATAGTACCAGAAAGACTTATGCTGGAAGTGAGTATTTTTGAGCATTGTTTCACATTGAATACAAAGACGTATACAACAAAACATACTACAAAGACATATAGAACAAAGACATGTAATAATAGATATCAGTAAACAATACAAAGATGTCTCTAGTCAATATAGGGGATAACCCAAAATCATATCCAAATACAATCAAGAAAACAATAACCAATATACATATACAACAGAAAAAACTACTGGTTATAACAGACTCTGACTCGGTCCCTCCCCCTCTCGGTATTCCTCCGCTGCCTCATGTACTATAGAGCCTCCCGAGCCTCCGCCATGATGGCATCTAGAACACCTCTAACATCAGAGCCATCAGAAAACAAACCACCATCAATACCCTCCTACACAATATCCATGATACGACGAAACCTAGGCAACACATTTGTGGCATGATCGGCCTGTGCCTGCTCATCCTCTAGAATCTCCTGATAAGCTGGTCTCAGAGGGTTTTCTGGAGCATAAGGTACCAGTTATGGATGGGACACCTGAAGAACCATATGATATAACTGTCCACGTAGCTCCAGTCATCTGGACCAATGGTACTCCGGGCCTCATCTGGAACAAGATGATTCTTATGATCATCAAACAAAACATCCATATCCCTGCGTTTCACCAGGGGAGGAGCAAATACAACATGATCCCGAGGAATGTACTGGGTGTACCTGAATTGACGCATGACATACTCAGGCATATAAGCAGCCATCTTGCGCGACCCGCAAGCCAACCTTCCCGTAAAAAACATCATCAAATGGTATCATGGCATGATGGTCATGGTATGAATGAAAGTGTATGTCATTAAAGACCAACCTGTCAATATACACCCGAAACGACTCTATCGCCTGGTTCCCTTAGAGCGGATCATATGCAATGGCACACGGCTTAGCTTAAGTATAATCTGTAGCTAGTGACCAACCCGAGACGCGGGGGAAGTGTGTGAGGATCTATCCCTGAAATAACAATAATTATTAATTATTAACGAAATCAAAATAATTTACAAAATGTCACGAAGACCAAGAAATTTTACCGTTAGAAGTGTGATGCTTCCGTTCATCTGCTTCGTCTTCCACTTACATCCCTCAGACAATTTCGTATACAAGTACACTAAACAAGATGCCCTCCAGTTCCACTGGTGGATCTACTCAAAATCATAAAAGTACCCCAAGTACATCACATCTGTGTAAGTGGCACTAGTGTCCACAAAAATATGTGTGCCAACCAAAAACAAAATGTATGCTCTCAT